TTTTTCATTTCTAAAGTGGTATTCTTTCAGTTTATTATGTGCCCTAAAGTGTATTTTTAGCCACTCTTTCTTCTTGTATGTAGTTAGGTCTGTTCTTTTGTTGGGCCAACAAAAAGACAGACTATGAGAAACATTTGTATCTTCCTCTCTCTTTCTTGGCAATTCCCAGTAAATATATATGTATCTCAAAATTTAAAATTGAAAAAAATTTAAATACTATCAAAGAAATATCATCTCTGAGTATTTCCATAGTTTGGGCCAAATTATAACCTTTATAACGTTATAGGATAACATTTTGAGCAACTTATCTAAATGACATTCACTTTACAACATTTAAGTTACTCTCCATCTAGATTTAAGGGGGAAGTAATTCTTCTTTTCCTTGTAAACAAGAGAAATTACACAAATGGCCTAAGTAGACTATGGCTCCTTTAAAAACATGTTTTAAAAAAAATAGATTGTGTGAAGTCTCTTGATTTCACAGATTGGTTGTGTGTGAGCATGCCAGTTCAATTGGAGTAATTTCCTTTAGCCCATTAGAAAAAAGTTATAGAGAAGCCCAGTGTAGTCTTCTGAATTTATGGTATCATCTGAGAAGGGATATTCTGTGACTATGAAAAGTTATAGTACTTTGAGGCTAAAGGGAGTGAGGCAAATGGTTTGATTACGCTCTCCTTTCTGAATCAATTCCAGATGTTGTCATTAGATTCTGGGAGTGTTGAAGGAATAAAATATCCATGCTAGAGGAGACCTAGGGATACTCGTTGGAGTTTTTCCTTTCACAGGGGAGGAAGCTGAGACCTAAGAGAACTGACTGCATGTGCAGGTCATACAGTCAGGTAGGAACAGAGCTTGGTCTAGAACCCAGATCTCCCTTTGTCTAACCCGCTAATACTCTAATTATTTTGTTCTCATAGACAAGGGTAAGTAGGAAATTAAAAACAAAACAACTTTGAAAGTGGAAAACAATCCTCATTCTCTCTCTTTATTCCTGTCATTGAAGTTTATAAGGAACAAACTGTTTATCCCCAGACCATACCTCTTCTGTAAAAACGGCTTACATAATACATTAAAGGCACTTTCTGTAGCCTAGAAATGAGGAAGTTAGTTAATCACCTACACGGTGTCTAAAATAAGGCTGAATAACACTAAACAAGACCAGTTTCAACTGCAAAGGATGTCATGGTGACCTAATAATCACCTCTGAACTCTTCTCATCCCATTATAACACATTAATATATTAAAATCCACATGTCCCATGGCTATGACCACTGACAATCATCATGGCTACCATCAAAAAGAACCATAAGGAGGAAAAAGGAAGTGGCACCCAACTCCTGGAAAATCTCCACCCTATTCTAGAAAGGACATGAAGATTCTTCCCCTCTAGTAACTTATCCTTCCCTCTCCTCTATCCACTACCTTCCAAATCCCAGCAAAGGAGAAGCTGATTTGTGAGTCCTGTATTTAAGCTTCTTCTATCTTTTGGCCAAGACTAAACCTTTCTTCATTATTTAATCTGCATTCAGTCTTCTTTATTAGTTCCATATTTCAGGAGGGGAAAGAATTCAGCTTGAGTTCAGAAATTGGTAACACTACCACCACTAACATTAATATTTTTGTGACATTTCAAATTCTGTAATATATATATATGTGTGTGTGTGTGTGTGTGAATAATATATATAATATACAATAATATATAATCATTATGCTAATATATAATAATATATTATGTGTAATATTATATATGTATATCTGGATAAATGATGAAATGAGTATTTGAAGGATGAGTTAATGGCATAATAGAAAAGGTCTATGGGCTGGTAAGAATAAAATAAAAAATGTACTGATATTAGAATTAGTCTCCTGTGAAATGAGATTTCCTATAACATTTTATTCTTCATGCTTTTTTCAGTAGAAGAAAGAGTTTCAGGTGTATCTAACATATATCTGTTAATCATTTTTATAAAAACAAAAATATCTCTTGCACCATTATGTCAGTCTCCATTGTTGTTATTTTCCTCATTACTTCTTCAGTAGTAATGCATGGACTCACTGTTTAATTGGAGATTTGGAAAGGTCTCTTCAATCTGACTCATCTGAGTAGCTGCTTTACAAATGGCCACCCCTTCTTTTTTCTCCAGAAGGGTAAGAGTCAAATCAAAAAGTTTTTACACCACTTAGAAGGTACAATTTGCATTTCATGAAAAATAATACTATACCCCTCCCTTCTAACAAAATGGATAAGCACAAGGGGTAGAGATTGTGGAAAAGATAGAAGGGAAGGCAAAATCTCAATATGCTGAACTATAATTATTTTCAACTTAGTGATGAGTTTCCAGCTGACCCTAATACAAAAGTTCTAAAACACAGATTACATCTGAAAAATTCTATTAGAATCTCATTGCTTATATCTAAAGTAACTTATTAAAGTTTTAGTGTGAAAAGCAAAAGCAAATATAAAAAAGACTCAACCAAAAGATATATATTTTTAGTTCTACTTTGCTATGATCAAAATACTTCTAAACTGCAAAGCTCAATTTTCTCTTCTATTAAATGATGGTAATATAAACCTTGATTTTTGTAAATTTAGTCAAGATACTGCATGTAAAAGAACTATTGGACCATGAGTAGTTTGTTGTTTTGTTGTGGTGCTGCTGTCAATAACAGCTTCCCATCTTGCAATTACAAATGACCTGCCTAAGAAATACAGAGCTTATTAACATTATCTTATTAATTTTAAGGGTTAGATCTTCATTTCTGAACACAGCATGACAGAGAGTAAATGACATAAGGCAACAGCCATGAGCATTTGATAGGATGTGTGTCATGCATATACAAATCTTCAAACATTGAGAATGTACAAAGAGAAATAGAATATCTGGATATTAGGCTATAGAAACGTGTGGGAGGGCCTGATAATTCATATACTGGTATTTGTTTCAGTTACTTCTCTCATTGCTGAGACCAAATAATGATACGCAAAGTTAAAGGAGGAAAGGTTTATTTTAGTTCACAGTTTGAGAGGTTACAGTTCAAAGTCAGCTGGCAGCACTGCAGGGAAGCATGGCAGAGGAAAAACAGCCCATGGCATGGCAGGCAGGAAGCAGCAACAGGGAACCTCCCTTTCCCTTTTTATTCCATCCAGGCTACAAGTCTATTTGTTGGTGCAGCTCACACCCAGGATGAGCCTTCTGTCCTCAGTAAATCCATTTATCCACACCCAGAACTATACCAATCCAGCCAGTGGGCTGATCTAGTATCGCACATCTATGATCCACTCACTCTCAAAAGCCCCACTTGGGAGTGTATGAGGTTTTGGGGGACATTTTAAACATAGAGATTTATAGTAGTACCTTGGTTCTAACTCATTTGTTTGCAAACAATTTGGTTCACAAACAGAAGCATTTGGCAAAATTTTGTTTTTGTTTGCAAAATCTGCATCAAGTGATATATATGACCACAGCCATCTTTCCCGCACAAACACAAACATAGCCATCTTTTCCAAAATCGTAGAGCAAATTAAGTTCGTGAACCAAGGTACCACAGTAAGCCATAACAGTATTCATCTACAATAATCATACTGTTCTCTAAAGAAACCAACCTTTGTAGTTCACATGATATCCAGTATAAAGAGGCTTAATAATAATAAGTTAATATACATCCAGGAAATATCAAATAGCATTAAAATATCAAATAGCATTAACCTGGTGGTTAAAAGAAAATCCACATTTCAAGCAGGATCTTTAAAAAGCAAGTACCTCTTTTTGAGCAAGGGTCTTAATCTGTGTGGTGGATTGACAACTGGTGGTCAACTTGTAACACCCAACTGAACTGAATCAGCATGGTGCTGGGTGTAGAAGGCCCATCTGAGAGCTGTGGCCAACAAAATAGAAGGGAGAACTAGAAAAGAAGAAGAGGTGATGTTGGAAGCTGTTGGTTCTCTTGGGGCTGTTGGTTTTCCTGGAGGAGCTTGTCATACCGGCTTTCCTGATATGAACTGGGACGTGCTTATTGTCAGAGGAGCTCAGGACCTTGTTGTTGCTCAGAATGACTGAGGTTCACTTTGGGGGAGCCCTGGGCATTACTTTGACCATCACTTCCTGGCTCTGGAGGGGAACATGGTGTACTGTTCAATGTCCTAGAGAAGCTTGTCACACTGGTTTTCCTGATATGGACTCAGATGTTCTCATCTTTGGAGGAGCTCAGGACCTCGTTGTCAGTGAGGATGGTGGTGGTACCTTTCAGAGGAGCCGTGGTTCTTATTTTGAACATCACTTCTTGGCTCCAGTGCAGATCCCTCAGCCTGCTAGCACAGACCTTTCTTCTCACTGGCACAGACTTTCTAGCTTCCACCACTGACCTTTTGGCCTTCCCAGCACAGATCTGTGAAATAGGCCTGCATGAGACCCTGTTGTGGGCTCTAGGCCTCCAGTTGGACTCATGGGAGGGGCATTGTGATGGGCTCTAGGTCTTCAGCTAGACTTATGCAGGACATTGCTATGGGATCCAGGCGCTCAGCCGAATTCTTTGCATCTTTACAATGTGGACAGATGTTATAGTTTGTGTCTAGGTGGTCTCCCAAAGGCTCGTGCAGTCATGCAGTGGGCTTCCAGAGTTTCTGATTGACTCATGGTCCAATGCTGGGATTATGAGTGTGAGTGCCACACCCATCCTAGGGTGGGTAGCTTGCATGCAATATACGGGAGAGAAAGAGACTTGCTGCTGCTCCTCCCTTTTGCTGTTGCTGCTTTTGCTGTCTTCCACTGCCATGAACTGTGCCCCTCTGCCATGGGCCACTCTGCCTTGGAGCCACCTGAGTATGGACTGAAACCTCCACAAACTGTGAGCTAAATAAATCTTTCCTTCCTTAATTCTGGGCATCAGGTATTTTGTCTCAGCAACAAGAGAAAAGTAACCAAGACAATGTATTTTCTGTACTCTCTTTGTATATGACTCTTTGGGTGACTATTATAAAGTAACCTTATAAATTATGTGTCCTGTATTAAATTGTTCTCCTCGGAAACCCCAAACTGCAACAATCTGCTTCACACTCAAGTATCTAAAATGCAAGCAAATATACTTGAAATAAAATAGTCCCCCCCAAAAAAGGCTGTCAAATTGGAGAGATAATTTTAGCAGATTAAAAAGGCCACCATTTTGCACAGATATTCAAGAGAAGCAAAATCAAGAGAAGCAAAAGTAAGGACAGGTCAGGTTATTCTGTGGTAACAAACAACCCACAAAGATCTCAATGTCTTGAAACAGGGATCTATGTCTTGTTTATGCAAAATGTGCTGAAGATCTTGGAATCTCCTTAGGATGGGTGTGTCCATGTGTTGACTCCACATCTTAATCTTCCCTTGATACCGCCTGCAGAGGGGCTCCCAGGCACTGTAGCAAAAAAGAGCAGGTGAAAGGGTACAACAAGAAGTTCAATGCTCTGGACTTCATAGCTGCTCTCTTCACTCTTCATTGGCTGTAATTTTTTAGATTGCCCCAGGAGACTATAAAAGAACTGAGTAAGGAAGTAAAACCCTCCCATGTGCTATCAGGAATAACTACACTCTTGTCAGAGAAGCTGAAATTCTGTAGAAAACATTTGAGCTACTTTGCACATAGTACAGGCTTTCGTGACTGCAGGGAGAAAACTACAATTTTTAAATGACAGCCACAGAAAATATGGACAGTGGACGTAAGAGACACGTGGACCTTAGAGTGGTCATCCGTACCTCAGAAGACACTGAAAATCATTATTAGAATTTGCTGTGTTTTATTCAATTTGTGGTGCTTGTGTGTGTTCAATAAATTCTATCTAAAAACATTGCAGGGTACACTTTCTGTCACTTTCTAAATATCCTCTTTACTGGCTTCATAAAGTCCAAATTTAAAAGACCGCTGTGATGTTGGTATAAGCATTGTAACCAAGATGTTAATACCCAGAAGAAGCAAAACAAATACATATCCTCCTTTCCAACATGGTACCTATTTCGTGCCATTAAACTAGTCCCTAAAATTCCAAAATGAATTAAACTGCAATGGAAATGTGGCAGAACACCCTTTTAGGCACCAACCAAGGGAAGCTTTGTCTAATAGTCTTCTGTCCACTTGGACTTACCGTGACATAGGTGGCAATGCCATTTGCATTCTGAACACTCTGAAACAATCCCTTCTGGAATTTCCCTCCTGAGGCAACTCTCCAACTAGGGCTTAAGGCGGGCTCAAGCCTTTGATCTTCCTGGGCTCTGGTGGTGAACAAAGGACCAATGAATTCTCAATCTGTTGGCAAGAAATGATGACAAAAGGTGCTCAATAGTCAGCAGGAACCTGGATATTTCTGGGTAGAGCCACTTTAGAAATTAGAAAGACCACTGTTATTCACTCTTACTGCTCTTCCAAATAATCGAAGACAATTTCCCCAAACTATTAATTAGGATTCAGAGAGAACAGTTTTGGAAAACTTATCAGGATCTCTAATATAAGAAAAGGAAAGCAAATAAACAAAACTCCCAAAGCCTCTTCAAATAAAACTTTCCTCCCAAGAGGGAACTTACAGGGAAAGCACAGTTTGGGAGGAGAGTGTGTGTGCATGTGTGTGTGTGTGTGTGTGTGTGTGTGATTTGTACAAATGTATGACAACACTAAAAATCAGATTCTGCAAATTAAATCAAAAAGGACTGTATGTGTTGGGGGAGGGAAGCATGATTTTTAAAAAATTTTAAAGGGAGAAATGGAACCCAGCATGTTTTTCAATGGCCTTTATTTTTACTGCCCACATTTTAAAACTTCTCTAGCCATCTAAAATAAAGTATATGTACAAATATGTGTCCTTTAACTCTTAACTTGTTACCTCTAAAGAGAAAAAGTAATATTAATGCTGTTGTTGGAAAAGATAGTCAGAGGTTTTTTGAGAAGTCTCATAGATAGCTGGTAGACTTCATTTAATTTCTTAAATGTAAGAAGACCAGCAGCATGACTTTTTGACTGGGACTAAAATCTGGACTTTGTGAGGTTTCAATGAAGGAATGTATGGGAAAATAGCAGACAGTCTACATTTCATCTTTCAATGAATTTTCTGCAACTAAACTAAACATCTCTTTGAGGTAATAAACCAAGATGAACTAGAGCTGGATTGAACTCTGACCTATAATGTTTCTCTCCACACATAGGGCCTATAGTATTGTTGAATATCCCCATCCCCTGGATAGAAGTTCTTAACAAGAGAGGGATTGGACTGTTGACATTATTCCAAACATGTAAAGGAAATAAAAATCAAAGGAACCACACACCATCAGATTAAATTCTTCTCCACCCAAAGTGTGATAGCTTGAGTTGCCATAACAGAATACCATAGCCTGGGTGGCTAAAACCACAGGAATGTCAATCTTAGAATTTTGCATACTAGAAGGCTGAGTTCAAGATGCCAGCAGGATAGGTGTCTGATGAGGGCTTTCTCCTCGGATGACAGGTAAACATTTCCTTGTTGTGTCTTCATATGAGAAAGAAAAGTCTAACTCTAGTCTACTTTCATCTTCTATGAGGACACTGAGGCCATCATGGGAGCTCGATGCTCGTGACTGTATAAAACTCTTTCTCTTCCATAATAAATTCCATGGGGCGGGGATACAAATGTTCACTCTATACTACCAAGAGATCTTAACTGTAAATACACCTTTCTAAGACATAAGAGCTCTAAGACCTCTAGAGTTGCTTGATACTCAAATGTGATTAGAGCAATTCCCCAACATCTTTTTAATCTTACTTTTATTTAGCTGATTATTTTGTCATATTGGTGGTACTAGGGACTGAATCAGGGCCTTCTCATCCACCTACATACCTAGCCCTATTTTATTTTATTACTTTATGCATTTTATTTTGAAACAGGGTCTCACTAAGCTTCTAAGTTGCCCAGGCTACGCTCCAATTTGTGATCCTCCTGCCTCAGCTTCCAGAGTGCTGGGATCACAGGCATGTGCCATCACGCTGGCTCCCAACACCATTTTCATGAAATATCACACTATTTTCACATTTTTTATCTAACTTTGCAATGTATTGTAATCTGCATCCCACTGCTGGGTGCTGTGAGAGATTAACCAGTCAAGATACGGATATTAAATATGTGCGTGGTAACTGGATGGAGGCAAGTTCCATCTGCACTGAGTATTGTCACAAGCGTTACTTTTCTTTTCCCTCTGCAACTTGTGATGCCAGGGAACAAATTAACGAATTCTTAAGTAATCAGTACACACACATGCACACACCTACTACAGTGGCAGTTTGTTGTTTTATCAAAACAAACAAACTCAATCTTGCTAGGATTCAGCTGAGCCTAGAATAGGGGAAGATTTGCATTTTGATTCTGTCCTCTGCTGCCTGCTTTGATCCTCCTGAGAGGTTGGCTTTGCCCTCTAGGACCTGCCTTTGTCAAGGTCTCATACTAGACTCCTTCTTTGTAGGAATCAGGGCAGTGACTAGTGCAGATCCCTCCATTTCATCAGCTGCAATCACTGTGACTTCCCTGTAAGATTTCTACCGGCTGATCTGTAAGTACACACCAGGCAGGACTCTCCCAAGGCATCATTCTTCTAGGGTGAAAGGGACTGTTAGGTCTCTCTGCAAAAATCCCTCCTTACGCTGCTGTGGAGTATAATATTTTCTAAGCTTCTCTCTACCTTGGCAGGATATGACTATTGCCAGGAAGACACCCCAGTTACATGGAGTCCTTTTCTAGGGCTGTTTCCTGCCTGACTCCCTTTATTAGATATCCCTTGGAAGCAGCTGGAAGCAGCCCATCTCTGCTTATTGCCATGCTGAGTATTTCTTTTATAACTCTTTAATGTCTGAGGATGTGCAGTTAGCTCTAGGCCAAGCATAATGGGCTAAAATAGTGAAATACCATGAATCTAGCCTGTAAAAAGTCCATAACCAGCAAAAAGAATTACAATAGCTATATTCTAAATGACTTCTTCATCCAGAAAATGTATATATCATGGCCAGCATGGTATGGCATGGTGTTCTTATTGTTGGCTTATCACTTTCCTTTTCAGAGAGTATTCAACCATGTTGCATGCAAAATAACAGATTCCCATAACGAGTCAGTGTTCCTAAACATTTACACATGGATTTAAGTTTGAATTGTGTCACTTCCTAGCATCATGAATATGTCAAGATATTCAATCTATTAAGCATTAATTACCACATCTCTAAGCTGGGATAACAATGCCACCCTTCCAGGCCCTGCAAGAGAATCAGATATAATATATATCAAGCCAAGTGTTTGATAAATATATATATATTTATCAAGCACTTGGTATAGACCTTGACAATTAGTAGACCCTTGCTAACTGGTAACTATTTCAAGTACCAACTTATACACTACTAGGCACTAACCATTTTCTAGGATTATAAAAACCTTGAAATTGTAACTCAGATGTCTGTAAGAGTGTGGCCGGTTTCCGGTCCAACGCTTCCTCTACAGGTGCTTTAAAGACAGGCTGGAGAGCAGTTAGCCCTCCCGACCTCCACCCCATGGGGACAGCACCAAAGAGCTACAGCAGCACTATCTCCTTGGCGCTTGCACTGCTTAGACCTTCATTCTTCCCACTCAGTCCATCCCCACACTTAGGACCCGGGTGAGCCCTTCAAGGAGACTAGTATCTCACCCTGAGAGGCCCAGGCCAGCCAGCCGACCACGAACCCCAGGACTCCTCAGTCGGCACCCAGCACCCCTCCCGTTTGACATGAATGCGAAAACCGAAAAAGGGTTTTCTCTCCAAGAATTCCAGTGTGATATACTGCTTTGACCTGCACCTAACAGTTCAAATCATGAAAATAAGAATCTTTTATGGTTACCGGGAAAATTCATAGTTTATCATTTTTGTCGGCTGGAGAGGAAGAAAAGACTTGGCCGGGTTCCTGAGGGAAAGATAGCCTGTCATATTTGCTGAGATTTATCTAAGAAAAAGCACTCAGGATGATACGTTTGTGCAACAAGCTCCCCTCCTGCTCAGAGCGCCATCGGTGCGACCCGCAGGGAGGGGCTGGCAGCCTGGCGGCCGGAGCCGAGGGCGAAGGAGGCAGGAAGGGGAGGAGGCAGCGGGCGGAGAGAGGACACTCGGCTGCCATCATTTAAGCCTCTTGATTATTTAAACTTCTGCAGAATAATGATTGCATATTTGAAGGTAATACATCTGTTCCTTTCCCTCCCCACCCCCATGTGGTTTTCTAATCCCGAGGTAATTATGTTTTGACAAAAATTTATTGGGACATCTGTTTTTTCCCTTAGATCTGCAGGTCACTGTGCGACTCTAACAGCAGCCTGCGGAGATCTGCGCTGGAGAAACCCAGCACAGGGCTGGCCAGGCTGGGGCCCAGACGCACCGGGCAGTGAACTGACAGCGCAGGCAGAGAGCAGCCCCTCCTCCCGCGCCGCTCTGCTTGGCTCGCTGCAGGTGTTCAGCCTGGGGTTCTGGGCTGGAGGGTGAAGGGATGCAGGGTATGAGGGAGGGGCGGGAGGAGGGCTGGCTGGGAAGGGGCTGGCAGTGTGCATCACGCGCTCCGAGGATGGCATCCAATATAAAAATAATTCATGGGGGCACGGGGATGGAGGTGCAATGCACAGGCCATATGTTTGAAACCCCTGCCCATAATGGCTGGCTGTGGTTAGCAGTGTCTGGTGCCACCAACTAGATTAAATTATGGTACCCTGCGGAGGCACAGATATCGGAAAGATTATCTCTAACTTCCAGCATTTGATAAAACACGGAGCAATCTCGGCACTTTACATGTGCACGAAATTTCTATTTAACCTTGTAAAAACACAGCTGCACTTTGGTCTATGCCTTTGGTGACTAAATTGCTAAAACTTGCTAAATTCATTTTTTTCACAAATCAGAAAATGCCTGTATCAAGATTTGAGAGGGAGTATCTTTTCCATATAGATGTATTTGGGGTTTTGTTTTTTGGTTTTTGGTACCAGGAATCAAACTCAGGGCTTGTGACTACTGAGCTAGATCCCCAACCCTCCATATATTTTTTACCATGCATCCTCATAAACTTATTTTCTGAGATATCCAATCCAGTGTCTTGACCTACTGTTTGAAAAAGTGTCTCAGTGATTTGCTTTTGTGTCAAATGAAATTTTGGAACATTTTGAGATGTTTTTGCCATTAAAGATTTAATCAGAAATTTTAGTAGCTAAATAAAATTCCATCTCCCTTTACCCTCGCTTATTTTCCTTTTAGAAAATGTGTTTTCACGTTAAATAGACACCAACCAATACTCAACTAACTTCTTTTTTCTGAAGGGTATCAAAGGAACATGAACATTATAATGACTATATATAAATGTCTATCTCTCCAGCCAAATTTAGGAAAAGAAGATGCGCTGGGTATCACAGAACACATCTCCCTTGAACTGATAAAGCTATGCTATTTCTTGGATTTCTTTATGGAAATATGAGTCACAGCAAGTACCCTGTTTTCAGATGGAAACAGTGAGAGAGTGAGACAAGTGATCCAGGGTCCAAGCTCAATGCAGGAGTCCCGGACTCTGGGCCACAGTTCTAGGCTTTCATCTTGATTAGACATCAGAGAGTCTAAAGGTTAGTAATGATCTCGTAGATTCTGCAGAAATCCCAAATCCCATTCGACAATAGTCTGTAGAATGGTGAAAGGGAAATTTATCTCAAAAATTAGTTTGGAAAGGCTGGTTTAATAAAGCATAGATAGAGATGAGCGTGGTGATATTCTCTGTAATCCCAGCTACTCTGGAGGCTGACATGAGGATCACAAGTTTGAGCCCTGCCTGAGCAATTTAGTACCTTAGCTAGACCCTGTTTTAAAATAAAAAGTACATATTATTTTTAATTAAAAAAAGGGGGGGAAGTTGGTGATAAAGCTCAATGTGATGGCTCTAGGTTCTATCCCTAGGGAAAGAAAGAAACAAACAAAAAAAAGGAAGGGAGGGAGTGTGGAGGGAAGGAAGGAGTTTAAAGAGACTCCATTAAAGCAGAGAGCCTCTTTTTTAAATGTAAATTTGAGCTCAAAGAGATAAAACAGTGTGGGATTTTTTTATTTGGTGCCCCTGTAGCAAAATAGCACAAATTGGGGCCTTTAAAGAACAGACATTTGTTTCTCAGGGTTCTGGAAGCAGGAAACCCAGGATCAGGGTGTCAGCGTGGCTGAGTTCTGGGGGAGGGGATCTTCAGGGGTCACAAATGATGACGCTGTCCATGTGTCTTCACCTGAGCAAGACAGGAAACTCTGGTGTCTCTTTCTTAAGGCACCACTCCCGCGTCGTAGGCATCAGTCACCCTAGGATCTCATCTAACCCTCGTTACCTCTACAGGTCCCACCTCCTAGCACCATCACACTGCGGTTTGGGCTTCAGCGCAGACCTTTTGCGCGGATGCAGACACTCAGCCCATAACCAGGAACTGCCCAAACTTTATGGCAGAACGTTCAGGCTTATAAAACATTGGGCCACCCTTCACTTTTACATTTGGACACAACATGAGTGTTCTAACTGCATTATGACACCAAGTAGGAGAAGAGGCTAAGACAGAACACGGAAAATGAATGACGTAGGCAGTGCTGCTGACTAGGACTGAAACATTTCAGAAGACAGGTGTACATGAGTTTAGAAGCAGAGAAGGTGGCGGTGAGTGTCCAGGAAAGCAATGAGCAATCCTAAGCACAGAACACTGGAAAATAACCTCCAGCACAATCACTGACATGGAGACTGTGATGGGGAGCCAGCGCTATCACAGTCCACCCCTTCAGTGCCTCTGTGTGAGTGTGCCGCATGTACTAGGGGTGGGGGTGGATGCAACAGGGCCCACCAAACCTTTCTTCTTTGTTGCTCTTCTGTGTATGGCTTTATTTAAATAAAAGTTCTACTGAACACTTCGAAGTCCAGCTTTCTACAGCTCATTGTTCTACTCTTATGTTTCATTGCTCTGGCCTGTTCATTTTTTTTAGCTTTCTTCACATCATCCTAATTTCTTGCTGACTTTTTTTGGTGTGTGTTGTGTGCTGGAGTTACACTTTTTATTCATAAACACACACACACAAAATCTATCTTACTACATTTTTAAAATTTGCTTCTCCTCCCAGGCAAAGAAATGAAGTTCACTACATAGAAAAGAAAAAACTCTCAGGATAATAAATTTCAATTTCTTTGGGTTAGATCTTGCAGAAATACTTGGAAAGAGAACAGACTTGAATTTCTTCCTTCAAAAGACAAATGTTTATTAATGTGGAGTTCCAGGACCCATGATATTCCTTAAACTCTTTCTGAAAATAGAATGAAATTCCTTTCCAGTTCTTCCGGTTGAAATCTTAACCACCCTCTGGAGGACGGCAACTTTGAGACCAGGGTGGGCAACCTAACAAGATCCTATTTCAAAATAAAAAATAAAATAAATAAAATGGGGCTGGGGATACAGCTCAGGGGTAAAACATTTGCCTAACATTGGAGAGGCCCTGGATTCAATCCCCAGTACCAAATAAAATAATGCAAAACAACAGAACAGAACAGACAACAAAGCTCTAGCTATCCTTCAAGGACAAAGTCACAATTAGTGCCTTTGCCAGGAGCCCTTCCCAAACCTTCCCCCTTCCTGCTTACACGGCATGCTGGGTGATCTCACTATGCTCCACTTCTTTTCCCATGAGAGGTGCCACCGCACAGGGATCACTCTGTTTATGTGACAGGCCACACGCGAGACCCCACACTTCCCTGTTCCTCAAGACACAGACTGGTACCAGGAATGTGGTAAATGTTTAGCAAGTGACAGTTTAACCGCTAATGGAATTTAACCAGGGCATTTTAACTGGCCAGCTAGGCCTCATCAGCAATGGCAAGGAGTGCCTCTCAGACTCATGCTGGAGGCTGTGTGGGCCAAGGAGGTGGAGCCCGGCCGTGGCTCACACTGGCTGCTTGACTGGGAAATTCTCCTGCTGCTCAGGACCTCCGTGGCCTCATCTCTGAGATAAAGGGGTTGGGCTGCATGAGCTGGGGTTCTGCCACCTTGGAACTCATTGATGAGAAGAGTGTATGACAACTTCCTTTCTAGATGCAGTTGGGATGTCAACCTTCCCCATCAGATCATCCTGGCCCCTGGACACCCACCCAGGGCTGCCAGAGGGAACAAACACTTGGTACATAGGTTGCACACTGACACTTGGGGAAATGACAGCAGGCTTACCCCAGATGAAAATAATTTGGTGCTTTCTGCCCTATTTTCCTGTCACTGTTATGTTTACAACCCCTGTTTCCATTTTCCCCTGTTAGACATCACAAGGGCATCTTTTTTAACAAATGAGCACCCAACTGCACCACCTTGCTTAGAAGCACTCAGCGAGCTCATCAGGGGCTCAGGGTCTGTGTGGGTCTGAGCTCTCGCAGGAGGGAGAGTGGCACATAAACTGCTGCAGTGGATGGACGAGGGCCGAGGGCTGGGCAGAGGGCCCTCTGCCAAACTCTGTTCCTTTCATCCATCTCAACACTGACCTTGAAGAATTGCCCCTTACGGGACATTATGAGGTGTGGACTCAATCTCCATCCTCATGCAGGTCCTGTCATTTTCTGCACTATGACTGACAGTTGTGCCAGGCAGCATCAACTGGATCGGGAAGGGGTCAGCAAGACTGATGAGGTCCCCGAGGAAAGCTGTAAACTCATCTCAGTCCTGAGCCGCTCTCCCTCTTCCCTCCCGGGGGCCGTCAAAGCAGCAAAGATGGTACTGGTTGGGGGAAGTCAGTGGTGCCACTGAAGTAGACCGTCTCTGATTGTTGAATAAAAGGGATGCCTGTGCCCATCCCAGATGACGCTCTGGGAAATTTCTCTGTTCATTCCTTTTCCTCCTTAAATCTGGGGCTCCTGACCCAAACCAACATACTGCAAACTTACTGTGTCTGTTCAGAAAAGAACGGGGACAGGGGGGCGAGCACACTGTAATCTTTCTTTGCTAAAAGAATCAATTGCAGTCAATTTAACTTCATCAAATCACTGACAACAAGTGCTGATACAGAGGATGGAAAATATGCAAGGCCAGGGAAGAGCCAAAATCCTACAGTTTCTATCAGTATTAAAGCCAGATGTTCCACCGCCTTGATAAAACCCAACAAGGATAAAGGCTGCTTTCTCCCTGGGCTTGGTGGATTGCAGGTTCTATTCACAGTGCGTGGTTCCCGTAGTCATCCTGTGGACCGGGGAGATAGCTTTTAGCACAGCAGCTAGGCCTCCTTTGTCTGTAGGGTTCTATCTGTTGTTGTGGCTTGAACTGATCTCTTTCTGCTTCACTCGCTATAGCAACGTTTATCTGATACGGACAAAAGGCATTTTGATTCTTGAATTAATAACACTTGACTCGAGCATATGATTCAATAAGAGGTATTCAGACAGTTTAAATGAAAGCAATGTTTTCGCTGAAGCCAATTAATACAGCAACAAACCTTTGGCTGAAGTGATCCAAATGTACAGCGAGTGCGTGTTACGGTGTTCTGTAAACCATCAAGCTATCCCTGCAGTGAATAAATGGAGAGAGAGAAAAAAAAAAGAAAGAAATGCACATCCTGTTGGCATGAACCTCAAATCACAGCCCGGGTAATTTCAAGTTGGAAGGGGGACTGCAGAGGTAGCTTTTGTTCAGTCTGACGACGTATTGGAGCCCAGCTGTAAAGGTGGGAGGGCCCCGAGTGCGGAGATGGCTGTGAACTCGCCCTCCAGCCTTCCTCTTCGCCCCCTTGACAACTGAAGGCCCAGTCTTCCTTCTACCTGACCCTGAGCAGGGCCCCCACCAGGGTCAGGTAACTTGATTTGATTCTGGGCTCCTTTCTGGGAAGCAGATGTGGCCCCAGGGGCTCAGGTAAATGGCTTTCCCTCCTTCCCCCCTACTGCTCCCAAACAGAGCTTTCCTTTTCTTTCCTTCATTGAAAAATTGCCAAAAACCACTCCATACTGTACAGCTAACCCCAAAACAGGCAATGGAGAATGATGTTAATTTAAACTTCTGCCTTATTAAGTAACAAAACCCAGAAATAATGTGATCAAAGCCAAAAGACACAAACTTCTGCCATCTTTCTTAAGATAAAAGGAGTAAAACACCCATTAAATGAAGGAGGCTTGGACACTTAATAAAAATAGCTAATTAAGTGTTGGAGTAACTTAGCATTTTGCCTCTTGAGCCCTGCAATACTCAAGACTGGCCCGTATCCCCTGCAAGCTCACTCCTTCCTGCTGAGGCTCAGACCCTCACATAATTCTTTCTTCATTCTCTTTGTTATATGCCAGAGACTGCTGCATGCACCAGGATGACAGAACTGAGCAGCAGACCAGGTCCTGGCCTGGGAGGACCTGATGCTAGTGGTGGTGTTGTTGGCGGACAGCACGGGACAAGCAGTTGTGAAGTTCTGGGACAAAATCACTGACGATGAGTGGTGGGAGAAGATGGAGCTGCTTCCCGGCTGGCTCATCAGAATCCGGGAATGCCTGTGACAGTTTCTCCTTGGAATGGAGTCCTGCTCCCTTTCGGCATCCTCATACAGGATCTGTTTTTCAGGAGTTTGAGTGAATTCCAGGCTTTAATTCAATTCCTTCCTTCCTTCCTTTCTTCCTTCCTTCCTTCCTTCCTTCCTTCCTTCCTTCCTTCCTTCCTTCCTTCCCTTTTCCTTCCTTCCTTCTTCCTTCCTCCCTCCCTTGCTCTCTCTCCTCTTCCTTTCATTCATGATATTTTTCTTTCTTTCTTTTTACTTTCAATCTGCAACTATTTTTAAAAACACCTTTCATGTGCCAAGTACACCAAAAACAAAACAAAAAAGGCCTAAATGCTTACCCAGACAGGGTCTGCCACCTGGTTAGGAAGGAAGACTTTGAGCAGAAAAAAATGTTTATAAGAAAAAAACCTTATTTCTCAATTTTCTGTGAAGGTTAATGACTGGATTCTGGTTTTGCTTTTTATTTTATTATTTGTTTTTTTTTTTTTTTCTTTTCTGGCCATTTTGATAAGAAAAAAGAATTAGATAATACTCAATACGTGAAGCTGAGCAGATACACATTGGTCTCCAGAAAATCCTAGAAACATGACTTACTATATGACAGAAAATAAGCCCTCAAAGACTTCAAGTCACTATTTTGTCATAGAGGTTGCTTGTGTGTCTTTTTGGTATGGGTTACAAGCAAGCAAACAAAATTCATAGCTTAGACACTAGGCAAGCCAAAGTGCTATAAATGAAGCTAAGCTTAAAAGCATTTCCTATGTAACAGGAAGCATTATCTGCCAAAAATCTGCCCAAGAAAGCTTGTTCAGGAGAGATTTCCTGACTTTTTTATGTTTTTCCAGCTCTGAACGTTTGGAAAGTGCATATGAACAGTAAAGTACATGGGCAGTCATCCAAAGAGAATTATTCTCTGTTTGCCCAGCACTGGACGAGAAACAGTCCTGGATACGTACTGTCAATAACTCTGCAATCCCGAGTCCACTCAATTAAAGAGCAGTAAAATGAAAACCATTTTCAAAAGGGACCTATTGCATGTGAACAGGCCACTTAGGGCACACCACTGACTTTGAGATCATTTTCAGGCCTGCCACATGATTGTAACATTGAGAGACGTCCAGACCTACCTCCTTCTTGCTTAGCTGCTGCATCGGTTCTCTTAGGCAGTCTAGACTAAAAGCATAAAGCCACCGAGCACCCATTAGGGCTTCCAAAGCCAGACCAAAGCACGAGAAGTGTGTCTTGAATACATTTCTGTATGTGTCAGCTGGGGAGAATGGCAAACTTCGGCAGAGTGCGTCTTCTGAAGTCCTGAAGTTGACAAATGAGCTGGGTGGGAAACGGCCCTGAGCGTGTTTCCCGCTGGCCTCTGCAAGATGGAGACAGGCAGCCCGCCTCAGGAAATCTGCTCAGCAAGGCACTGGCAAAAGCAGATCAGCTGGATCTCAGAAGCTTGAGAACAGAGCCATCAGCAGACAGAGCAGCCAGCTGGAGTGCCAAGAACATTGCCGTGTGAGCTAGAAGCTTCTCTAGATACCCTCACTGGGGATCCCAAGGAGGCAGGGCCCGTAGTGGTCAGTGAAGCTGCCGGGCAGCTAAAAAGTTATCCTTCGCCTGACGGCGTCTCTACTTTCTACAGGTAGGCCACACTGTGCTTATAACAATAAGATATAGATATAACATTTATCATATTAGTTAACCAAGGAAAGTAAAGCTTAAAGAGATAAATTGCCCCAAATCATACAGCTCATGAGTAGGTGCCTGCTGGTGTTCGTCCCAGAGACTCTTCCTCCAAAGCTCACACCCGTAACTTCCAAGCCAGGGGAGGAAGACTTTCCCAGTGGTAGTGGGATGTACTGAAGAGTCATAACTAAAGCAGTGGTCCTGTGGCTTTGATGAGAAAATTAGTGCTAATTACTCAGTCAGTGCATCCTTTATTTGAGCTTATTGTAGTAGTTTGTGGATCCCCTCATGTCTACCTTTCATGGACTTCCAGTGAATCTAAAGACTCAACTTGGAAAACAGTGGTGTTGATGAAACTCACCGCAGAGAAGTGAGCAGGGGACAAAATCACTGTAACAGGGACAGTCAAGCTTCAGTGCTACCCCACGCCAGGCAATTTCTTCATTTTTCTAAATTATGTTTTCCTCCATTTTCCCGAAGCTGGGCTTGTTCTGCCTACCCTAAGACCCCAAGTCCAGGCTTCAGTGTATACTACAACTGCTCTGAAAACCCAGTCAAACACCTTTGGGGTCTAAAGTTTACAGG